AAAAAAAAAAAAAAAAAAAAAAAAAAAAAACAACTTTCGCTTCGTCAGCAGCAAACGGCCGCCGCCCCCCCCACCCATGCCCATGAGAGCAGCAGCAAGCATGCCCCTCTCAAACACAGAAAATGTGCTGCTGCTGCTGCTGCTGCTGCTGCTGCTGCTGATTGGGTACTGGCAAGGCCTGTGGGTGACAGGCGCAGAGGCGTGGCTGCTGCTGCTGCTGGTACTGCTGCAGCAGCCCCGAAGAACAGCAGCAGCAGCAGCAGCAGACGACTCCAAGAAGTCGCAGCTGCTGCAGCAAAACCGCCGCAGCACGCGAACACTCATTGTGGCTCCTGCTGCTGCATCTGGCGGCAGCTGCTGCAGCGGCACATCGCTGTAGCAGCAAAGCGGCAGCCAGCCCCTCACAGAAGAAGACACCCTGCAGCAGCAGCAACAGAAGCAGCAGCAGCAGCAGCAAAGCAAAACCCCTATGGATGCAATACCTGGACCCCAGGTAGATTCTGGAAGCAAAAAGCAGCTGAACCAGCCTAGTGGAAGCAGAAGCAGCAGCAGCAGCAGCAGGGGCAGCAGCAGGAGCAGCAGCTGCAGCAGCAGCAGGAGCTGAAGCAGAAGCGACAGCAGCAGCAGCAGCAAAAAGCCAGCCTGGATCTGAAGACTCACCGCACAACGACTCCCGCAGGCTGCTGCTCGACGGTCTGTCGCTGCTGCTGCTGCTGCCGCTGCCTGCTGCTGCTGCTGCTGCTGCTCCTCACTGCCTTTATAACAGTGCCCACAATTGCTGCTCCTGGCTGCGCCTCCACTGGGGAGACTAGGCCTTCGGACAGCAGCGCAGCAGCAGCAGCAGCAACAACTTCTAAATCTAGCCAGTGGACAAACAGCAGCCGGCAGCGGCTTATGTGCTGCCGCTGCTGCTGCTGCTGCTCCCGCTTCCGCTTGCTGCTGCTGCTGCTGCTGCCGGCGGCCACGTCCAACGCCGGCGGGATGCGCACCACCGCAAACTGCGCTGCGCTGCTGCTGCTGCTGCTGCTGCTGCTGCTGTCCGTGGCTTCAGCAGCAGCCTCGTCGCCGTCACTGCTGGCATTCTGCAGCAGCAGCTGCTGCTGCAGCTTGTGCAGAGGCAGCAGCGCCCGGTGCCCCTCACAGTTTGCTGCTTCGCTGCTGCTGCTGCTGCTGCTGCTGTTTTTGAGGACTGCGAGGGGCGCCTTGACTTTGGTGCCGGGCAGCAGCAAGTGGGGCGGCAGCAGCTGCAGCAGCTGCTGCTGCTGCCACCCCACAATGTGGGGCAGCAAAGACACAAAGAGAGTTCGCTGCTGCGGCAGCACAGCAACAACGCGTCCATACACTTTGTGCTGCTGCAGGCTCAGCAGCTGCAGCAGCCACGCGTCGAACTGCTGCTGCAGCTGCTGCTCCGTTGCTGCGCCGCTGCCGCTGCTGCTGCTGCTGCTGTTGCTGTTGCTGCAGGCGCTGCTTCTGGCTTCCTCCTGCTGCTGCTGGCCTCCTTTCTGCTTGCCCTTCTTGCTGCTGGCGGCGAGCAACAACTGCTGCTGCTGCTGCTGCTGCTGCAGCAGCGCGGGGTGAGCTACGTGCGGGTGCAGCACCACCGCAGTGACGCTGCTGAGGCACTTCAGCTCTAGGCCCTGCATGTGGGATAGTTCTGCTGCTGCTGTTTCCTTTTTGCTGCTGCTGCTGCTGCTGCTGCTCTTCTTCTTCTTTGCTGCTGCTGCTGCTGCTGCGCGCAGCAGAGGCCGCAGCACGCGACACTCCAGCAGCAGCCCAGGCCTCAGGCTGTCCCACGAGAGCTGCTGCTGCAGCCCCAAGGGCGACAGCAGCGGCGTTCTAGAAGCTGCTGCTGCTGCTGTTGCCCCTGCTGCTGCTGCTGCTAGCGGCTCTACTGCTGCTGTGCATATGATGGTGTTGGATGCAGTATTTACCTCCTGAAGCAGCACAGGGAAGACCGCCCCCGGCAGCAGCAGCAGGTTGTGCTGCTGCAGCAGCAGCAGCTGCTGCTGCTGCGGAAGGAAGGCGCGGGTGCTGCTGCTGCTGCTGCCTTGTTGCTGCAGCCCGAAGCTCAGCAGCAAACCGTGCTCTTCAATCGAAGCAACACTTGCTGGAAGCAGCATTCCCTGATGCAGCAGCTGCAGCGCGAGCCCCGCGTTGCACAGCGACGGCCGCAGCGACAGCTCGTAGGCCCCGCTGCTGCTGCTGCTGCTGCTGCTGCTGCTGCCCGTGCTGCTGCTGCTGCTGCTGTCCGGCGTGCCAATGACCACGCAGGGCAGCAGCTGCCCCACGAAGAAGCGCTGCAGCAGCTGCTGCTCATAGGCCGTCTCGGCCTGCCCCTGCTGCTTCTGCTGCTGGCCCTTCGCCTTCCGCTGTTGCTGCTGCTGCTGCTGCTGCGTCTCCAAAGTGTGGCTGCTGTGCACGTAGCCCACTAACCCGTAAGGCAGCTGCAGCAGCAGCTGCGTCGTGTGGACTTCAGCAACAATTCCCAGCAGCAGCGCGCCCTTTTTCAGGGGGGCTTTAAAAGCTGCTGCTGCTGCTGCTGCTGCTGAGTCCTCATTGTTTGCTGCTGCATCATAGGCTGCTTCGTCCGGCTGCTGCTGCTGCTGCTGGTCTGCTGCTGCGCCAGAAGCTGACTGCAGGAATGGAAAGGACAGCTGGAATTCGTTTGACCTGGGCCCCTTGCTGCTGCTGCTGGTCTTGCTGCTGCTGCTCTTGCTGCTGCTGCTGCTGCTGCTGCTGCCCTTCGTGCTGCCTCCCCGCTGCTTCGACTCCCCGCGCTGCTGCTGCTGCTGCTGCTTGCGCGCTGGAGCAGCTCGGGGGAAGTCACCCCCCGTGTATCCTTCCATGCTGCTGAAGCTGGGGACCTGCTGCAGTTGCTGCAGTCGCTGCAGCTGCAGCAGCAGCTGCTCCTGCTGCTGCTCCTGCTGCACTGAAGCTGCTTGCTGTTGCTGCTGCTGCTGCTGCCCCTGACGACTAGCAGCAGCACGAGGATAAGAAGGCCCAAGGAAGGTCGCGGCTGCTGCCGGGGCCCTTGGTGCTCCTGCTGCTGCTGCTGCAAAGATCTTGTTGCCGAAGCTGCTGCTGCTGCGTCTTCCGCTGCTGCAGCTTCTAATTAAAAGAAAATTAAACCTGTAGAAAGGCCTAGAGCCCAAATTTATGAGCGCTTGTGGGGCCCCACGGCCCCACAGCGGCTGCCGCCGTGGCTGCATGCAACAGCAGCAGCAGCAGCAGCAGCAGCAGCGCTTGCTGCTGCTGCTGCGCCTCCTGAAGCCCCAGCCTCATATCCTCTAGCAGCCCAACACACAAATTTCAAATAAGGCAGCAGTGACTCTAGAATATAATACTTTCGCGGCAGCAGCCTCGCAGCAGCAGCAGCAGCTGCTGCTGCTGCTGCTGGGAGTGACTCTCTTGCTAGCGGTTCGGCAGCAGCAGCAGCAGAAGCTGCATCGAAGCAGCTCACGGCCGTAGATCTACGGGGCCCTGGGCTTTCAAATTTCATATTTATTTATATCCTTAAGAACACACATTGTGGAGATGCTGCGTCTGCAGCAGCAGCAGCAGCAACTGCAGCAACAGCAACTGCAGCTGCTGCTCTGGTGACGAATGACGCAGCAGCAGCGGGGGCCAAGCCGCAAATGGATAGTGCCGCAGCTACTGCAGTTGCTGCTGCTGCTGCTGCTGCTCGAGGCATTCTGCGTTGCAGCCTGGCGCAGACCAACAGACCAGCAGCAGCAGGAGCAGGTGCTGCTGCTGCTGCTGCTGCAGATACAGCAGTAACTGCATCACGAATATCCTACTGCTCAGGCCACATACCCCTTCAAAGGAGATATCACACAGCAGCAGCAGCAGCAGCAGCAGCAGCAGCACAACTGCGGCGGAGAGGATCGCGAGCCGCTGGGCTGCCTGCTGTTCCCGCTGCTGCTGCTGTTTGCTTCTGGAGCTGCTCTGCAGCAGCACCGGCAACAGCAGCAGCAGCAACAGCAGGTTTGGGGAAGACAAGGCCGCTGCTGCAACAATCTAGGGCCGTTAGCAGCAGCACCAGTGGTCACAGCAGCAGCAGCAGCAGCAGCAACAGCAGCAGCAGCAGTAGCTGCAATGGTGCCAGCGTGGATTGCCCAGATGAGCACCAGCAGCAGCTGCAGCAGCTGCAGCGGCAAGCAGCACGACTGTCTTCTCTGCCTCCTGCTGCGCTGCTGCAGTTCCTGCAGCAGCTGCTGCTGCTGCGATGCTCCTCAGTAGAGCTGCTGCAGCAGCTGCTGCCGCTGCTGCAGCGCGCTTCTGCTGCCCTTCCTGTAGAGCAGCTAAGTGCTGCTGCTGCTATTCTGTCTGCCCTCTGCAGCAACCGGCGTGCGGCGCTGCAGCAATGTCAGCGGGACCTCGAGCAGCAGCAACAGCAGCAGCAGCAGCAGCAGCAGCATTCTAAGTCAAGGGAAAAGCTTGCAAGGCGGCAGATCAGCATGCTGCAGCAGCAGCTGCTGCAGCTGCAGCTCTTTGAAAAACAATTGCGGGGGTTCATTGGTAGCACTGCGCTGCAGTTTGCCCAGCAGCAGCAGCAGCAGCAACTGCTGCTGCTGCAGCAGAACCCTCCCCAAGTTATTGAGCTGCTGCACCGCCGAGCCTCAGCTGTCTGCTGCTTGCTGGACGCGCTGCAGGGGCTTCCTTTTGCTGCTGCAGAGGCAGCAGCAGCAGAGCGCAGTGTTGCAGCAGCAGCAGCAGCAGCGCTGCAGCAGTTCACAGCAGCGGAGCAGAAAGCATCTGCAGTTGCTGCTGCAGCAGCGCAGCAGCTGGAGCTGCTGCAGCAGCTGCCTGCACGAGTGGCCCGCATCATTGGGGCCTTCCTGTCGGGGCCCCACAGCAGTAGCAGCAGCAGCAGCAGTAGCAGCAGCAGCAGGGACAGCCTCTGCAGCAGCGAAGCAGTGAGCCACAGCCTTGCTGCTGCTGCTGCTGAGGCTGCTGCAGCGCTGCTGGCCCTGCAACATCGCTTCCTCGCTGCTGCCAGCAGCTCAGCAGCGGTGCAAGGGCTGCAGCAGCAGCAGCTGCAGCAGCAGCCGAAGCAGCAACTGCATTCCGGCGACCAATTTACCGAAGGTAGCAACAGCAGCAACGGCGGCAGCAGCTGCAGTAACAGCAGCAGCAGCAGCAGCAGCAACAGCAGCAGCAGCACTGAGACGTGGGACCTCACGGAGACATATCGTCTTGTGGCTCTTACTTTTAGAGAAGCAACAAAAGCGCAAGTAGGCTGCTGCTGCTATTGCTGCTGCTGCTGTTGCTGCTGCTGCTGCTGCAGTTCGGTGTGGTTGCGTTGCTGGCGCTGCCCTTCCTGCTGCCCGTGCTGCTGCTTCCGTTGATTGCAGTTTGCTGCTGCTGCTGCTGCTAGTTTTGAGTGTGTTTTGCTGCTGCTGCTGATTGTAGCATACTACTGCTGCTGCTGCTTTCCTGATTGCGACCTGCTGCTGCTGCTGCTGCTGCTGCTGCTGCTGCTGCTGCGAATGGTGCTCAATGCCGCGTTCACCTGAATTGCCCTGCAGCAAGCTAAATCCCGTGTTCCTCCTGTTGTCTCTGTTGCTGCTGCTGCTGCTGCTGCTGCCAGGTGGACCTCTGGAAGCCCTTAAAGGTAGTTTGCTGCAGCTTTGCTGCCCTTCCTGCTGCTGCTCGTGCGGCTGCGACGGAGACATGCTGCTGCTGCAGTGATGGTTCTCTTTGGCTCGCAATTCTTGCTGCTGCTGATGATGCAGCACCTGCATTTGCAGCAGCAGCAGAAACAGCAGCAGCAGCAGCAGCTGGAGACGCAATAGACGTGAATGCGGCGGGCAATGATGCTGGCCCCGCGCCCCTGGCTGCAGCAGCTCACAGCAACTGCAGCAGCAGCAGCAGCAGCAGCAAAGTGGTGGAAGGGAAACAGGCGGGCTTCAGAAGCGGGAGACGCCGGCGGTTTGCTGCCCCCGCTGCAGCAGCAGCAACGTCAGCTGCAGCAGCTGCAGCAGCTCTGCCCCGTCGGTTTGTTGCTGCTGCATCTCACGGGTTTGAAATACCTCTTTTTGAAACTGAGTTGCTGCTGCTGCGCTGCCTCCTTAGGAACTCTGCAGACGCATCTGCAGCAGCGCAAACCCCGCAGCAGCAGCGGCAGCAGCAACAGCAACAGCAAACGCGTCAGCAGCAGCAGCAGCAGCAGCAGGGGCAGCCGCTTCAACTGCAGCTGCAGCGGCTGTCGACGAAGGCTCTGTCGCAGCTTCTACTGGCTACAGCTGAATTGCTGCGGGCTAATGAGGTGCTGCAGCAGCCAGCAGCAGCAACAGCAGCAGCAGCAGCACCAGCAGACAAGGGTGCAGCTGACGACATTACTGCTTTTGCTGCTGCTGCAGTTGCTGCAGCAATGCCAGAGTGCTGGCGCTGCTCCCCTCGAGATGTGCTGCGGATGCTGCGGAGCATAGAAGGGCTCCGACCTGCAGTGAAGTTCCAGCAGCAGCAGCAGCAGCTGCAGCAGCAGCAGCGGCAGCGCGTGTCACGCAGGGACAGCAGCAGCAGCAGCAGCAGCAGCAGGCCAGAGCTGCAGCCGCAGCTGCTGATGTTCTTTGGAAACCTCTTGATGCGGTCTCTACAAGCAGCAGTTGACAGACAGCAGCAGCGCCAGCGCCGCC